ATAACAGTAATGAGTGCAGACTCCCAGCTAAACCTATCTAACAGATTAGCATAAAACTGTTGGGGCTGCCTGACCTAGTTTTAAGATGACGAGTGTGTCTACACACACACAACTCCTTAAGGTGCAGACAACTCCAGTCCCAAAATATTGTTCACCAAAAGATTAGAGGCAGCAAAAAAAAAAAAAAAAAAAAAAAAAAAAAAAAAAAAAAAAAATAAAAAGCATTTTTAGATGGAGAATTAGATCAATGATGTAAGAGGAAAAAAAAATTGAAGCTGAACTGTGAGGTGACCAGGAGGAAGAATGGAACAGAGCAAACAGTCGCTCTATGCCTAATTGGAAACTGTCCAAATTGATAAGTACCCTCAAAGTGGAAACCAACTGCTTACTGAACTAGATCCGAATTCCTTTCACGGATGATGTCCGACGTCCTATTACATTGCACCATCAAGCTAGTGAGTTCCAAACAGAAGCATTAACTTCTGTCAGTTTGGTCTCTGCTACTCATGGAGCTCTTACTCTACTTAGGAAGTGGAAGCTGAGCAGTGTATAAAGAAGACCACTGTAAAACTGGAATGCATTCATAATCAACACTGGCAAACTTTTCAAACTAAATACTACATTTTACTTGCTATTTTCTTTCCATCATTTCATTTTGATGAGTGTTTGAGCAGGAAAAAAAAAAGACCACTAGCTGTCTGTGAACCCTGATTCCCATCCATTAGTTTTGGAACAATTGTCACCAGGTTAAAGTGATCCTGGTAATTTTACCTTTTATCTTAGTCATTATTACAGAATAAATGTCGAACTACTGCACTGTGTTTCTATTATAATAGACAAAATAAAGTCAATCAACTTTCACTCCAAAGTAACTTTATGTAAACCCATGTTAACAGTTCAACCCTGTTTTACGTAAGGTCTAAGGTCAAGTTACAGCTTGCATCTGTGCTGCGAAGACTGCAAACAGCACTGAACTGCAGAAAGGCTGAAGGAAGACATCCCATTTGCATAGAGCATGCCCTCGGCAAACTAACTAGCGTGCAAGCACCCTGGCCATCAATTAACCACCCACCTATTCACCAAAAAGGCAGTTAAATCGTTTCCACAGCAACCTGCACAACTGGGTGTGTAAAGGCTGAAAGAAAGGATTAGTGTTGAAACGGAACAAAAGGAAAAAGAGAAAGCCAGTACACAAAGGAGAGCAGGAGGGAGGAAATGAAACAATCAGAGCTGGAGTCACATAGGGTTCATTTGCAAAAGAAGAGGGCAGTCAGGTCAGCGAGTGCATGAAATGCTTCTCCTCTGTTCTGTCTCGGTGTAAATGAGCACGACTCGGGTTGCTGCCATTAGGCTCAACAAACTACTGTGACGTCACAAGGCCTGTGGCGGAGAGAAAGATAGCTTTCCAGGAAGAGGATGACAGCAAAAGTCAGCAACCCAACTGTTTAGTACTTCAGACATTACATGTCAGAGGTATGAAATCTGACTAAAATCACATCTCAGTGGAGCTGGCTTCAAAGCGCCTCTGGGTCTGAGAGGCCAAAAGACTTATTCAATGAAACATGAGGATGAGAAAACTGATTTAATGCAGGGTATTAAGGGACAATACAGACAGAAGATAAAAGTATAAAGATACTTATCTCTTTTTGCTTCCTAGGGAGAGAGAGATGGAGAATAAAAGGGCATAAGCCAGAGGAAGAAGGAAAAGAATAAAAACTCATGTGAATTGAATACAAAACAAGTGACAGGCCCAAACAGTAAAGATGAAGTGAATCTTATGAGGAGATTCACAAAAGCACGGTGTGGGAATAGGAGAATACCGTCATCTTCACGCATGTTTATTGATGCTTCCATTCTTCTCTCCATCACACCGAGATGCGTCTTATGCCCGATATCATACACTATCTCTATATACACATACTAGATGCATTTTGTCAGAACACCAGCTCTCTGAACACTCGTGGCTGAACACTGGTAACCATCTCTGCCCTTTCTTAACATTTACCAGGGCTTCTAGCAGTTTCTAATGGGACTCAAAGGCCCCTGAGTGTCAGGCTTTTTTAAAGCAGATTGTGGGTCATAAACCATTTTGTTATTTGTAACAGTTTTGTGGCTCTCTAGAGCCTCAGATTCCTTAACAGAAGTCTTTCCCGCAGATGCTGTAGTACCCCCAGGGCCTGTAAACACACTTTGATGTGTAAAATCAAAAGAGTTCCCTTTTAAATCAAACAACTCCAAACACATCTGACAGAAAGAAATTGTGCATTGCTTTAGGGCCCCGTCTACGGCCACATGCCGTTCAAATATATTAACTAGTAACCTATTTCCTTCAACTTTCCCTGAATCTGCACTGAGCGGCAGGATAGAAACGGCTGCCTACGGTTTTATAATAATCAGCACTGCATCCACACAAACAAAACAATAAGCTTGGTGCATCTCTAAGCAGCAGAGGACTGCAGGTATTCAACAGGTCCAACGGCCACCGACTGTGCACAGAATATAAAATTGTGTTTGAGTTTCAGCATCAATACTGACGAGCGTGAAATTTCAGCAGCCGTGTTCATCATTTTTGCTGCTGTTGAATAGGGGAAACATTTTAGAAGTTAACATTTTGTACTTTGTAACAACTTGCTTTCCACAGAGAACACATTTTACACATCACCAAACTGAACCACTCAAAACAACTAACCTCTGTGTACATGTAACATTTAGCAGGGCTGTATGCTTAGAAACAGAGCAAATTCAAAGATCGACCTCAGGATTTTAACAACTGATAATTGAACTATTCAAGTTAACCAGACAGTCAATAGTTTTATCCAGCGCTATTCAACACTGGGACAGGCTCCAGAATTCCTCCTCTGCTGGCTGCTGTCCACGAGCACACATACGCACACACATGGCGTGCAGCCACAGACACGGTGTCTATGTCTCACTGTCGGCAACACCCCCAGCCTGCTTTGGGTCTTGGAAAGGATAACAGAGAGCTATTACACAATCTGAGGGGCAGTCGTCATGATTGAGATGACTGTACTAGTTGGAATGATAACATTTAACAAAAAGAGAACAGCCAGGCAGAAAGAAGTGCCTGCTGACAAACAACACAGATCGTTATGGTGACTTCATGATGGTGGTGAATTATATCAGAGTTGGATTCAGTTTTCTTGTTTTGCTGTGTGCATGTCAAAGTTTGAGGATGGTCTTCTGAAGATGTCAGTGCTAAAAAGTGATAGAAACTAGAAACAGCACATAGAGAGCAGGTTTAAGCTGCTCCCTACTGGTGAACAAGGCAGCAGTACCTCTCATAAAAGGGCATTTCAGAGATCAGTGCAGACAAATGTACACTGCATAGCCATCATCCGTGCTCTCTGGAGCACATATGACAAATCTGTATCTAATGTCTGTATCCAACAGCCTTAAACCTTAAATCCTGTACATATGTGGAGAGGCAAGACCAGGTGCAAGTATTCTGAAATTTGTCACCCCAGTACTGCTTGAAGATATTCTTGTTGAAACTGTAAATATCCCTGATACTTCATAAACATTAAACAGCTGAAATGCAGCTTCTGTCACACTAAGGATTGCATGACTACCACTTCTTCAGTTTTGTAGAAATTAACTAACCTGACTCATATAGAATCTTTTGTCTCTACTTTCAAGACGACTGTACTTTGCCATGCAGGAAGACGCGCACACACACACACACACACACACACACACACACACCTGGCCCTAGCCCATAACTGATTACACACATCTTCCCTAGGAAGATCACTGCTGGTCCTCTGTGTCACTGACCTCCAAACTGTTAAAGTGCTAATCTCACCCTGGTCTTTTGCAGCCTTGATGAGCAGGTCTAACTATAAATCAGAATCAGCTTTATTGGCCAGGTGTGACAGACACACGAGGAATTTGACTCTGGTACGTCGGCTGTCAATGTGCAAACAGTAAACCAGCATAAGGCTGTGTAAAATAATGAAATAGCAGTATTAACAGCAGCATTGACAGCAACAAACAGTGAAAACTGCAGAATAAGCAGTATAAACAGACAGTAAACAATGCAGACAACAAAGGAATGTTTGTTGAAATGAGAAATATGGATAGAGTACTTAAAACTAGAGACCTGTA